GTCGTACGACGCCGATGCCAGCCGCATCGAGTCGTGAGAGAAGGCCACTGAGTTGACGGAATGGCTATGGCCCTCGAGCGTCTGCAGGCACGCGCTCCAGCCGTCGCCCATTGCCGGCTTGATTGTGAGCCAATCTGGCTCTTCATGCTGGAAATGCCTTCTTATCGAACTCTTTAATGGACTGAATAACAGCGCAGATACATAGGCCTGGAGAGCGCTATGCTCAATAGCTCCCTTGTGATACATAATAAACCGATGCGCGTCCTTGACAAGCTCAGTAAATGCACTCGCATCTCCTCTTCTCTACCTTATATTAGCATGAAGATTATCTAAACTGTAGTAATTCTTTATAACCTACTTGGATTAACAACCATAATTTCTCTACCGAAACAACACCCTTCGGCACGCTCTTACACAGACTAAGAGCTTCTAGCCAGTAGAGAAACTTTTTCTGCAAAAACACGTCAACAATGCCTCCATTATGTAATGCATTGTTGTAGCTCGCTGAAGACGCAAGATTTGAGGCGTAAAGATGATCAACCCAGTAGATAGACGAGTAGCGCGATGCTGCAAACGGATCCGGATCTGGCTGTTGGACGTCCTCGATAGGATGTCGTAACGCTTCCAAGCCGTACATATCCCGTTGCAGGGTCCTAGACATGACCTGGAGAGATCTTGAGAAGATTACGTAGTGAGCCTCTTCTATTCCAGACGGAAAGATTTTACTAAATGCCTTGGACAATAGGAAGTCCTTTGCTGACTGATGCACAAGGTAAACTGTGTTCTCTCGCAGAAAAAGAAACGAGCCACAAAGGCCAATGATCTCCCTTATCGACTCTGGGTTGTCAGCTATATCATCGAGTGTCTCCACAAGAGAAGTAAGCTCTTGCAGTGTGATCGGTCGGTATACTATCGCGATTAAGCCAAGGATCTGTTTACAGCGATTTGCGTTGTACGAGTTGCTTATCTGTTGCATCATCCGCACGTAAATAGGGTCAAGGCCAGGTGGAAATTCGTTAAGTCTTGCAACAGTGTCTAATCGAGAAATTTTCTCAAGATTTTGACAGACCAACGCTACCCAGAGGAAGGTGTCGTTCGCATTTGAGGAAAGGTAGTCCAGCACAGCAGTTCGCGTTCGCTCGTTGTACTTCTTCCGTTCTGCCAGCTGAAGCACTTTATGCTTAATGAATATGCCGACAGCCGTAGACACGGATGCTGCGTTAAGCTCAAGTGACAGTTTCGCTTTGTGTCCCGCCCCTTCAAGATGTTCCTCGATTTCCTGCCAGTTGCGGCTTGAGACAATCCACTTGACGCGAGATAACATAGACGACTGCTCAGCGATAAATTTTAGCAGCCTTGGTAAGTCTGCAACGCATTCGTCGAGCGCGTCGATAATGAGGTACGTGCTATTTAAATTCGGGTCATGCAGCATGTGTGTGAAGATCTCGGCTAAGGCAACCCAGGCGTTCGCATCCTCGAATAGCGCTTTGCCTGTATGGTCGTACTTTTTGCGCACATGCAAGATTAGTAATGGCTGCTGTTCGATCAGCAAGTACACTAAGCCTCGCAGCACAGCTGTGGCGCTGTTGATGCGCGGGTCGGCGGCCTGGCAAAAGAAGTGCGAAAGAAGACCTGTTGCGCCCATCGACTTCTGCAGCTCGTCGATGATCCCGCATAGCAGCATTGTCTTGCCCTTTCCAGGATCGGCTTTAACCCACAGCAGCCGGCTCTGGGGGTCATTGCGCCATTGTTGGAAGTCAGAGTTTTCAAGGACCCAGCGGTACGAGTCCTTGAGCAGGCCGCCCTTGGTCTCTTCAATGCGCTTCTTGTCGTCGCGAGGATTAGTGCTACACAGGTCTATTAGGCACTTATTATCCGCTTCGGTCTCGTGTATTCTCTCCTGCCGCCTGGTCTGATTCTGAATTGCTGAGCTAATGCTGTCGAGCTTAGCATTCTGCGAGTCGGCCGTCTCAGCAATAGCGCCAAGCCGATTCCGGATTGACATTGTATTGTACTGCTCTGAGTCCTGTTGCACTGCCGCCTCTGCCGCTTGTATGTCGCTCAGCTCGCCGTCCCAATTTTCTAGCTTGACTAGATCCCGCGCTAACACAGACAGCCGTCGCCGATGATAGTAACACACGCTCTTCATCTGGTACAACAGGAGTTTTGCGTAGAGCTGGATGATGTTCTTCTCGAGCTCACCTCGCAGGCCTTGCGAATGCGCTTCGGTCGTGTTCTTGTCTAGCAGCAGACTAGACATGTTCCAGTACCAGTCCATCCTTGACACGACGTACGTAATACCTTGCCGGTTGGAGCTCGCCTGGGTGAGCGGGTTCATCAAGATCTTAAAATAGCATATTAGCGCCAGATAGCTATCTTAACAACAGCAGTACCAACCTCAAGCGCAAAGCACACGCCAACCCAGGCGAGAGCCGCTTGTGGCGACGCCTGCACCGCGCTGTCGACAACCTCCTTCACGGCCATGGCGGCCTGGATGCCGTCTTCCATGCCCTGCTTCATCTTGGCATCCTTTTCCGTCCTGTGCAGGCCGTCTTGGACGAGCCGACGCATCTGCGCCTGCCGCTTCTCTGGATCCTGCTCAATCTCGTTCCGCTGCAACGCGAGGTCTGCAGTTTGTAAGGAGTCTGCAGGGTCTGCATCTTTCCGGATCAATCGGGCGGACAGAATTGTCTCGTATGCGGCGACGGTGTTCGGGTCAAAGGCGTTCGCCTGGTCGTATGCTTGGTTCCATAGTCGCTCTGGCAAGCTGGGCGGAGATGTAGCAGGATTAAGAACGACCGATGCATGTGGAGTAACGGAAGTAGATGAGGCTTCGCCGAGCGGGGGTGTTGCTGGTTTCTTTCTGCCGAGCTTAGCTTTAATTTTTTCCTTTAGAGATGCCATAGCATGAGAAATCTTTGGTTAGATTCTAGTAGTGACGAGTCCAAAGGTGACAGCGCGGTGCCTCTATGTTCGAGAGATTTGAAAGGCAGCAACCTGGAACAGTATGCCGCGGCCGGCCAAGCTGCTGCAAGATCTGTGACGTGTCAGGGTCCTTGGCAGCACTGTGGCCGCTTGGAGGCATGGATTCTCACGTGCACAGGCCACTATGTTATGCCAAGGCCAACCGCAGAGACGCCTCAGCGCCAGCTTCTCAAGGTTACAAAGACGTTCTAGCATGGCGCCTTACCTCATAGCTTTGCAGCATAGGAAAACCCAAGCAAAAATTCTCAGTGAGTCATCTACTAATGCTGAAATAGCCAGAAATGTAGGCTACACCAGCCGGTCTGTCACCGCGATTCGCTCCAACCTCCGTCCTTGGCAACACCAAAGCGCCTCCAAACGGCGTCGGACGGTCTCGATCTATCACTCCTCCCATGCTAGAAGCCCTACAAGAATACCTAACGGAACGACCGGGTCAATGTTTGGATGAGATGACGGTCTTCCTTAAGCTGTGACGCTGCGTTCGAGCGGGCTAACAAGGCCCCAATCAGCCACAAGTTCACAGCCACAAGCTTGGCTTGCTGGATAACAGAAGTAAATTACACCATCATGCTTATGTCAGACATGCGGGGTTATTTTGTCCTAGCTAGATTGGTAATTACTTCCGACTAGATGTGAGGTGACCGGAGCACCTACAGTATATAGCTACTAGACAGGATGTAGATACATCCTTTCCAATGCATGCAGCCGCCTGCGCAGGCGCATAGCCCGCGAGGCCTCTGCGAGTCACGTGCTCGCTTAGGCCGGGATATATATAGCCCCAGGCCATGCACCACGACTCCTTAAGGATTCGTCTCCTAATATACGAATACTACCCATTCCATTATCGAGCTCCCTGCTGTGCACTCTCCTCTTACATCAAGCAGCAGAGTATAATTGATTGTGTATGTGTGGTGTCTCTTGTCGGTCGGGTTACCCCGCCCGACGTTCTATAACGTAGTCGGCAAGCTAGTGGGCCATGCAAGCTAGTGGGCCACCCAATTTTTGGTGCGATTTAGACCTTTTAGCACCCCAGCAATCTCAACAACCACGAAATATAAAGTATAGCTTTAAGATTGCATATACTATCTAGCTCATTTTAATAGCTAAGAGAATGTTTGGAGCAGTATAGCAGCGTAATCCTATTATATTGTAGGATTACTTGATTTTGGGGGCCAAAACTAGGCAACATTTTACTGCGGCTAAACAGGGATATCAAGAGATCTAAAAAATTAACAGATGATATTAAAATAACCACGGATATCATTATCCTAAGTCATAACCTGGAATATTCTGTGATTGTTAAGATTGCTGGGTGTTACAACCCGTAATACGAACCACCCGAGCGCAGCGGCACTCGCGGAGACAAGTGAGCAGATAAGACTGATCACAAAGGAACAGGTCACGGGACCAAGAGGGTCACGCGTAGGACGTATAGGGATCCTGGATTCCCCCACGGACTAATGGGGATGGGAACGATCTAGGCGACGGGACGTCACGAGACAGGAGGTCACGTGCCGGCTCGAGGGCGCTCGCAACGAGCAGGAGCGAGCTGGCTCGACGAACTCGTGGAAGGAAGGCACGAGCTAGCTCACCTGGCTCGTAGACGAGCACAACGAGCACATAGGTTTCTTAGGACGGAGCTTTCATATATAAGGACGCTCCTTTTCATAGATAGGAACCTCGTGTTCAACTCAAGACTTTAATACTACCTATTGGAAGTAACAACCCCGTCTTATACCTGAGATTGATCTTGCCTCACCTTTTAAAGACTATTGCACCCCGACGACGACTTGACCTATACCCTGCCTTAGTGTGTGACACTTGGAAGGTATAGAAAAGACGACCCGTTACACTGGGGTGCTAAAAGGTCTAAATCGCACCAAAAATTGGGTGGCCCACTAGCTTGCATGGCCCACTAGCTTGCCGACTACGTTATAGCTTTGATGGCAAGCTTATTAATGCAGTTCTTGCCTCAGGCCTCCACGGCTGATGCCTTGGTCTGCGACATTTAATTATAGCGTAAAATACAGTACATCTAATACCTCCCTACGTAAGTGCGCTAAAACCCTCATGCCAAGACACACTCCGGACCCCTTCGCACGGATAAATCCGGAATGTATGTTTCCAAGAGCCTATTGCCTCAAAGCTTAGAGATATCTTCTTTCATCCTAGAACTATCGGTTTAATACTCCGAAATATGAAATTTGGGAGATAGCTATGGTGCAGCAGGGGTGTAAAGCTAATGCCGTTCCAGATGCTCTGAAAGGAATAATCGACAGTATAATCAAGAACGTCGTAATTTTTTAGCTACACACTAGTTTCCTAGGGAGGAATGTCTGAAGAATAATAGTAGGCTAACGATAACTTAATTGGATCGCAAGGGAGAGAGCAAGATGCCGAAGCAATAAATTTGTTGCGGCTGTCACGGTATTAATCATGGCCTCCCTCTAAGCATTAATCCCCTGACACCTTGTTCCCGCATACGTGCGCACGCGTGCGCCACGCGCCTGCCACCTGATTCCCGATTCTGTTAGGGCCACGCGCTATATGCGAGCCCCTTTTCTCGTCTTGTATATAGCCTGGCTGCCGTCCCTAATTCAACTCGGCATCTTGACGTCTTGTAACCAACCACGGTAATAGCACGTAGTTATCCTTCTTTGAATCTGATACTTGTCTATCTCGCGTTCAAATGCCCGATACATCGTCACCGTGACAGCGGCACGGGGGGTGTTGCGCCACACAGGGGGGGCGTTAATCTGGATGTCGCACATGTTGAGTTACGTAGATCTATGTAGATTTAGAAAGATGTTACCGAGCAACAACGGTAAAAATCATGGGACGCTTGTTGAAGATACGAGCGCTGACTTGTTATGCGGGCGTTCTTACGCTGTTGCCTATTCAGCCACAGGCTTACTAGCCATAGGATTGGCTTGGCCTGCTGATATAAAAGTTTTATTACGTCTAAAACTAACACGGCGTTCGGCGCTAGCCAGGATTGTTATCTTTTCGATCGGAAAGTACCGGTCGGCGTCGCCACGCTGTATTAATTAGCCTCGGACAGCAGTTATAGGGCTAATATTATCTTATCAACGCACTAATAAGGTCTATACGCATAATACCACTAACCTATAGCTAAGTTACCACGATTAATAGGAAGTCGATAGTGGAGCTGCATTAGATGCGCCTTATAATACTCCTAAGAAAAGGCACCCTATAAATTATGCAATAACGCCGCAATACTAATATATTTTTTCGTTATTTAATATTCTAAAAGACTGCAAATAGCTAAATTACAAAATCTAACTTACCTAGTTAAATATAAGGAAATTTAGATATAGGTAAGAAGTGCAGATTGCGATAAAAATAAAGTACCGTTAATTTAGCTTATTATAAAGGAAGGCTTATAATATAAGAATAAACGTTAAACTGTTTATAGGCTGTCGAAAGTTATCCGCTAACGCAGGCTAAAAAAAACTAGACACGTAATAACGGAATATACTGCGTTAGACGCCAAGCTTTAACCCCTAACTTATTATTATAAAAGCGCATATATAATTATAATAAATAAAGGTAGGAAAGTGAAATTTATTTAAAAAATATTATAATAAATTAGCTTTATCCTATACCTACTTTATAAGCCTTTTTATCTAAAGATAGTTTTATTGCTTAGCTACCCCTTTTAAATAAATTTTACTTTATTACTTTCCTAGTCTTATACTAGATCTATTCCTATACTGTATTTAAACGCTTAATTAGTAATAAGTTAGGTTAAAGCTTAGCGTTTAACGCAGGCTAAACCGGGTTAAGGATATTAGTATTAAAAGTAAGTTAGAGGGCAGAATAGCAGGATAGAATAGAAGAGACCGCTAAGAAAAAGTATATAAAGCTGGCGTAAGAAGGTAAAATATAGAAGCGTTTGCTAAGCGTAGGAAGAATAAAGGAAGTTGCAGTAGGAAAGTTAAGTATATAAGAGAAGTCTTAGCTTAGTATAGAAGAACTCTTTTATTTACCTTTAGAATCCGCTCTAAACTAAGGTGTTATAGTAATTAGAGGAGTAAAAAAACTTAAAAAAAAGGGAGAAAAAAAGCAGTAGTTTTAATAGTAAGCTAGGGTAAGCTCTATAACACTAGTATATTAGAATTACCAGCGCCTAAGGAGCTAGAATAGGCAGCGCAGATTTATAAGATAGTACTGTGCACCTTATAAGTATATTATTGCTAGTATATTTTATTATTTAGGTTAACCTGGCAGAGATTATATCTAATAAATTCTCTTTTCCTAGTATTTGCTAGGTGCTTTCTCTTAAAATGTTTACTAAAATTGCCTAAGGTATAAAATAAGTATATGCGCAGTTCTATAGGTAGATTTTCGTTACCTAGGCAAATAAAATATATCCTCGGTCTTATTTCCTTATATATAGACACCTTAGCTGCTTCCAGCACTTATATAGATAAGTCTAGCTAGGTATTATCTTTACTCTTGCCTGGTAAAATATAACCGCTTAATAGTTAGAGTTAAATAGGGTGTATTCTGCCCTTTTTAACCCTATAATATTCTATAATAGCTTAAATAGCTCTATTATACCGGTATATCTCTACTTCTAAACTAACTCCCGGCGGGGCTATAATAGTATTAGCCAGCTTCTTCTATACTAGAAGTATAGTATATTAAGGCTATACTATAATAACCTTATTTTTACTTTTAATACCGGTAAGCTGCTGCTTAATATCACGTATAGGTTGCTTATACTTCCAGCGTTCCTTAATATCCTTAAGAAAAGCATTTTACTGGCGCTGCTTTTCCTAGTTAATTTTGCGATTAAGCTTTATATACTTTAGATACTTTATAGGATTTTAAAGTTTACGCCTAAGTTGCTTTTATTATTAGAGCAGGTAAAAAACTTTAGGATTATTATTTACTAATACAGATTGTTCTAGAGTAAGCCGTTGTAGCTGTTAAAAATTAATCGAGCAACTTATAGTGCAAGATGCTCGCATTAATATATTTTAGGGCTCGATGCCTCGCATAATAGCTTATATATCTACCGTAATGCGTCGCAAAAAATAGTGTTTTAAGAACGTCCGGCTATCGCGGTGCGTTATTATAAGGTTTTGTATAGCCTTACTAATATTGCCTATATATTATATTAATATTACGTCTTGCTAATAACCGCTTAGGCTAAGCTTACTATTTTTATTAAAGGCCTTCCCTCTATTATATCTTAATAAATAGGGCCGGGTAATTTAGGTAAACCCTATAATTTCGCCTAGTATTTTAATCTAGGGCAGTAATATAGAGTACTAAAGAGGCTAGTCTTCTAAAATAGTTTAGCTATTTAGGGTTTTTATAGGTTGCCGAAGCACCGGGATTTTATCTAGTTTCCTATTTAGGGGTAATAGTAGCTTATTACGCCCTAGTGGAATATAGAGCCTGCTTAACTCTTCTTTAGATATTAGATTATATAGTGCGAACGCTCTATCGCAGAAGAGTATTCTAAGAAGGAAGATATAACGTAATCTATAAGTTAGTGGCCCGCACAAGCTAGTGGCCCACCCAACCACGCTACCGAGGCCAAATATTCCGAATTACTCCAC